TCGTCCGGAGCCTGTGCTCCACAATGGGAGAGGAAAGAGTGCTTGTTCTGCTGTGATCGCCTGTAAGAAGCAATGAGTTTTCCAAGCCCTTTGTGAAACCGGCCTCTGCGGTTCAGAATAGAATAGGTCTCTTCCCAGAACTTCTGGATAATAAAGTGATCATAGCTTGCACTTGTTTTTATGCTGGTTTCAGAGCACTTTGAGCTGTTTGTTGTATTGCATTTAGCTGTCCCAGGATTCCTCTGAGGTAGACAAGGCAAGTATTTCCACAGGCAAGGCCCTGGAGGTGCAGGAGGGCACACGATGGGCTTAGGGGGTCATGTGACTTGCAGGTGGCAGACCTGGGTTCTGAAGCACAGCGTTCTGATTCCCAGGCCAGTGTTCTTTGCATTCTGTCCTGAGGCTTCCTCTCCTGCCACAGCTTCCAGTGAAGGCTCGCAGAGCCAAGACTTTATGAGAACAACTTTTTTTTTCTGATAACAGCTCTGTGCTCTTCTTTCAGCTGCTTCCTGCGGTGTGTTTTTTTTTTTTTGCGGGGTGGGGGGGGGTTCCCACCGCTGAAGATTTTAAAGAACATTTCAAAAATAGAAAAACAGAATAGTGTTGAAAGGTAGCAGAACGCACCACCCTAGAATATGACTTTCTGGAGTGAAGATTATTTTGAGCTGACTGTTTTTTGAGAAATAGACACAGGGACATTTACATTGATAACTCCATTTGTAAGGGCTTCTCCTTCTCTGTACCTGGAAGAGAAGGTTGGCTCTAAATCACAAAAGAATCTTGTCAGTGAAGATTGGGTTTGCATAAGGAATCCAACTCTACCTTTCTTAACTTGTTTACTCTGCTTTTCCTAGTAACCTCTCATAAGGCTCCCCCCTCCCCCTGTTTAGCTGGAGCCTCAGGACTTGTGTTCATATCGGTTTTTCTTGGAGGTACGATATGTCTCATGGAATTCTGATTAAAACCCTTGGTGGTACTTGTAAGTCATTCAGAGCAGGTCTGTAGCCCCTCCAGACTCAGATGCCATGGTGATGCAGGAGAGGAAGATAGCAGATGTTTACATGAGGTTAGTTTCTGCATCCAGAATCTTCCAGGGAGAGGGAATTTAAGGCTCCATCCCTCATCTGTAGAACCTAAACCAGTTCCTGGAGGCTGGGCCTCAGGCCTGTGAGGGCTCTTAACTCCTCGAGGTGATGCAGTCACGACGAAGGCCACTGTGGAAAAGAGCAGTGAAGACAGATACAGAATCCTGGTGGTGATTATTTCTCCAGATCCACTGCTTTTCCTCCTTAGCCTCTGTATCTTTCTCAACTCTAACTTGGTCACTTCTTCCCCAGTTTCTAAAAATTAACTGCCTATTCATTTTCCCACAAGCTCACTCATTTGTTACTTTGTGTGTTAGATGGTTTCTATTTCCTGTATTTTTTGTTTTTCCCCTCATGACTCAGAGATGAAGGAGTTGGGCAAGAAATATTTAAAGTACACGGGGGAGGGACTTCCCTGCTGGTCCAGTGGCTAAGTCTCTGTGCCCCCAGTGCGGGGAGGCCCGGGTTCGATCCCTGGTCAGGGAACTAGATCCCTCATGCCACAGCTAAGACCCGGTGCAGCCGAATAAAATAAATAAATAAGTAAATAAGGAAAGAAAGAAAGAAAGAGAGGAAGGAAGAAAGAGAAAGAAAGAACATGGGGAAACGTGGAGGAGAAACTGTACCTACTGGGGAAGTTCTACCATCAAACTGTGTAAGAAATACCGCTAAGAAGTAAGAGGTGGGGTTAAATGAGGTGCTTTCAGGAGGCTGAATACGAAGGACTCCACCCAGAAATATTTGCCCGAGAGACTCTTGTGAAACGTCGAGCAATGGGGCTTTGTCGTATTATATTGGGTTGTTTTAAAAAACCTTTATGATTTTGCAGTTGTGAAGAATTCTTGTGAAGGAATAAGAACTGTATTCTCAGCTGGTTTGTGGAAAGAATATTCACTGGGTCATAAGTTGGTGCCAAAGATGAAGGGTTTATTGGAGCAATTTTTGACCTTGTTCCTGCTTATCCAGAAAGTTTTCATTTGGTTAGTTTCAGGTTTGATAATGAATATTGTTTCAGTTGTTTTATTTCTCACTAGTTGAGGGTTAGGCTCAGGAGCAGACAGCAGTTTGGAAGCTTTGGGCCACGGACTGGCATTACTCTTTTTTTGTTTTTTAAAGATTTATTTATTTATTTAATTCATTTAATTTTTTTGCTGCATCGGATCGTGGCACGTGGGATCTTCGTTGTGGTGTGCGGGCTTCTCTCTAGTTGTGGCAGCACAGGCTCCAGGGTGCGTGGGCCTTGTAGTCGTGGTGTGTGGGTTCCAGAGCCACGGCCTCTAGTAGAGGGGCACGAGCTCAGGAGTTGTGGCATGTGGGCTTAGTTGCCCTGCAGCATGTGGGATCTTAGTTCCCTGACCAGGGATTGAACCTGTGTCCCCTGCATTGGTAAGGCGGATTCTTTACCACTGGACCACCAGGGAAGTCCCTGGCATTGCTCCTTAGAGAGACTGTTTGCTCAACTGAGTTATTAAAGATGGTCTCAGTGAAAAAATCATGACGCTTAGGCAGTAGTGACCTGCCTTTATTTTGTACTCTTTTTTGCTGAATTTGTTGCATCTGTCAGTATTCTCTTTGGTGGGTTTCGGACATTAGGCTAAAACGGAGAGCTGAGTAACAGGGAACAGTGATTCCCAAAGATAATTACAAGTTTTAGGCAAGTTTGGGACGGCAAGTGTTACCACTGGGCTTCTGGTGGAGAGCCCCAGGTTTGTAGGTTGCAGCACCGGGCTGCCCTTGGCCATACCCGGGCTGGGACTGCCCATGTGTACAGTTTGACATTCTTGCTTCTCTGTGTAAGCCTCCAGATTTCCATCTCAGTAAATTCTAAACAGTGTGTTTTACCATCTGCTGTATGAGGGACTCTTCCATGAGCTCTTAATGCCTCTAGGGGTGAATGAAGGGGCATATGCTGAAAATGTAACAGTGAGCCTTTGTGTCCTTGAGAGCTGATTGTCTTGTTCTGATCTGATGATCTTACTCATCGTGATTGTTCAACTAAACAGTGTTCCCTTACTTGTCTGTAGTAGATGAAACCTTCCATGACCTCATGGAAGGCGAGGCAGTTGGTGCAGCCTGCGAACATGTGTGTAGAGCAAGACAGGAGGGTTGGGGTTTGATGTCACACCGATTTGAGGGACGGGGACAGCGTTCTGTAAATATCCTGATTGGGTACTAGTTGGTTGAGCACAAAACGTATGTTAGTTTTTTTTTTTTTTTTTTTTTTTTTTTTTGCGGTGCGCGGGCCTCTCACTGTTGTGGCCTCTCCCGTTGCGGAGCACAGGCTCCGGACGCGCAGGCTCCGCGGCATGTGGGATCTTCCCGGACTGGGGCTCGAACCCGTGTCCCCTGCATCGGCAGGCGGACTCTCAACCACTGCGCCACCAGGGAAGCCCTGCGTGTTAGTTTTGTTTCGCGTTTGGAGTTTTGGATTCTCCATCCCTTCCTCTTGTGTGTGTATTCTTCAGCTTCAGACAGACAGAAGAGAGCTATCAAATTCAACCTGTCATTTGTTTGCCATGTCTGTGTCAGGAAGGAGGGATTGCCTAAAAGGAAAAGTCGAGTTCCAGAAAGATTTCCAAACTTTTGGCACTTTGTCTTTTGAGAAGTCTGTGGAGGAAAGGATGTGGAGGGCGGAGGTGTTTACTTTTGGTGACTTGGATTCGTGTTGAGTGTTTGGTTTTTCTTGATGGGCGAGAAGGGTAACTTTGGAGGGGTGAGTAGAGGGAGGAAGTAGGTAACCGGGTGGAGCGGCCATTTGGCAGGGTGGGCAAGTGTTGCTGTTGTGCCTTTAGTTTTGGGAAAGAAAATTGCTTTCACTAAGTCTTTCTCAGGAGGTAAGCATCAATGCCTCCGAACTCATTGGTTTAGGATTTTAATTTTGGCCTTGGGGAATAGATGATTGGTAACATTTCTTCCAAACCAGCAGCTGCAGTGTATGGCGGATGGAGAACCATGGATGACATCACTTTTTAGCTTGGCTTCTGTTCTGTTTAAGTTTTTTTTTTTTTTTGGCGGTACGCGGGCCTACTTACTGTCGTGGCCTCTCCCGTTGCGGAGCACAGGCTCAGCGGCCATGGCTCACGGGCCCAGCCGCTCCGCGGCACGTGGGATCCTCCCGGACCGGGGCACGAACCCGTGTCCCCTGCATCTGCAGGCGGACTCTCAACCACTGCGCCACCAGGGAAGCCCCGCTGTTTAATTTTTTTTCCCCCCTGTTTAATTTTTGACTCCAAGGAACGTCCCAGCTTCTAGTGGGTAGAGACATATTCACACAGCGCCTCCTGGGGCTGAGAGCCAGCGAACCTCCCAAGCTTTGTTTCTTTATGATTCTCCCGCAGAAGCTGGGCTCCATTTTCTTGATCTTTGGACATGTGGAGTTTGGGTTGGGAAAG